ATAATTCAAGGGGTAAGTTGATTTAAAATCAATAGTATGAAGGATATTTATAAAAGTATAAGTAGACGTTGTGTCACATCATTATTTTGTCAGTTTATAAATATAGTGAACATTTTGAATTAAGGTACATAATTCAGAGAGCAAATGAATCATTTTTAAAGTTCAGAAGGCATATTAAGCCCGTGTTTGTTTCACTGGTTTAGCTCAGTTCAATTCAGTTTGAAAAGTGAACATAGTTTAAATTCGTGTTTAGTAAGCATGTAGTTTAAATTATATTTCCCGTTTGAATTAAGTTAAAATGTTCAACTTAGGGAGTGTTTAGTATGCAGTAATCTTTAGATGAGAATGAGAATCTTCTCACATTCCTACATTTGGTACAAGAATTGTAATTTTTACATTCCCATGAAAGTAAATCTCATGGGATTCACTTTATCCCAAATTGAGGTAATCTGAATAACACCCTGTTACCATGAATCTGAAGAAGGTGGGAATCTCACCAACAACTAATAGCCATCATTATCAAAGCCACACCACTACACCCATCACCATAACCACCACCGTCTCACATGCTCTGGTCAACCCAGCCCAATGCCAGTGTCCCACGGCCAACCCAACACCAATGTCCCACGCCCAACCCAGCCCCCTGCCAACAGCCCATGACTAGCCCAGCCCCGTGCCACCGTTGACCTCTGCCACGCAAAACTCAAGACCTCTATCGAACAAAACCCAAACACCTCCGCTCTCCGTCCCGCGAAATCCAGACCCTGCCGGCCTCCGTCGTGCAAAACCCATACCCCGTCGCCTTTCGTCCCACGAAACTAGACCTCGTTGGTCTCCATCGCACGAAACCCAACCCCAACCGGCCTTTGTCGCGCGAAACCTAGACCTTACCGGTCTCCGTTGCGCGAAACCCAGCACATCACAGACAAATCGAGTGGACTCAACCCAATCTTGCCAGATTTCACATTGATATTCTCCGATCTGTGATTCGGCAACAGATCAGAAGAAATGGTGGTGTTTTGGGAGGATAGGTTTGATGATATCAGATAAGGAAGGGGGTGGATTTTTGACGATATGTAGTTAATGAAACCGCCATGAATTAGTGTATTGATGGTTATGAATAGTACTGGAACTTTGGACGGGCCGCCCGCAACTGCCCGAAAAGCCTGAATTTTTACCCGAGCCCGAGCCCGAGCCGCCCGAGAAATTTGGGCCGCCCGCCCGAGCCTGAATTTCACCTTGAACGGGCCGCGGGCTTGTATTAGGCGGCCCGAGCCCGCCCGAATTGCCCGAATTATTTAAACTTTTTTTTTAATATTAAGTTATTTTGTGTTAAAATTTATATATATATATATATTACAATTTGAAATTTGAAATGAACACACGAACTATATAAAAAAATTCTTTCTTTATTAATTTTAAATTTATAATTCATGATTACCTCATTAAAAACTTTACCAAGAAAAATCCAATTGGGATAAAAACTTGGCAAGAAAAAAAGAGTGCAATCATATTGTGACGAATTATAAATTTTACAAACTTACAAAGTTATACAATTACAAATACAATGTCAAAGGTAAATACATATTTACAAATTACAAATTTACAATTTAATTTAAAGCTAAAGGATCGTCTTCAAAATTAAATGTTAATCGATTAAATTCATCGATCCATTATTGGCTTGCCGGTGAAATTGTATCTTGTAAATGTTGATCGGCCCGATCCCAATCCTTAATGCAAACCAAGGCTTCAATCAACATTGAGTGACTGGTCTTTTAAAATAGAGATCATCAAATAGCGATGAAGTTATTAAACTAAACCAATCATTGAGTGACTTTTGATAAATTATCAATTTACTTTGGTATGCAAGTAGAAAGTTACTTTGATATAGAGTCACAAAGAGAGTGAAGAAAGTTGAAGAAAAAAGAGGATAATTAAGAGGATGAGAAGAGATTGTGAACAGAAAAATAGATAAAGATAGAAAGAAGAGTGATATAGAATAGAAAAATACGAGTATTTATAAGAACAAAACCGGCATTATATAGAAACAGCACTTTTTAAAAATAAAAACAATAAAAACGTGATGACAATGTGTTTCTTTCCTTGTGTACATTGTTTTTTGAGGAATCATTTTATCATGTGATTGATTATAAAAAAGGGTCAAGAATGTGAAAACTGAAATATTAAACTACTAAAATAGGAATTTGCTCTTTCTATTAAGGAATTGTGTGTTTACCTTAATTAAAAAGTTAAAAATTTAAATAACAAATATGGGCATTGGGTCTAGTGGTATGATTCTTGTTTTGGGTGTGAGAGGTCCCGAGTTCGATTCTCGGAATGCCCCAATTTGTAGCAACTAAAATTTTCGGGCAGTTTTGGGCAAATCGGGCAACTCGGGCTTCGGGCAAAATTCGGGTTTTCGGGCTTATTTTCGGGTCGGGCGGGTCGGGCATGGTCGGAAAATTTAAAAAAATTCCGGCGGACGGCAGTTAGACGGCGGCGGGCAAGAGAGTTTGTGTCAAATTCGGGCTGCTCGAGCCCGAACCCGAAAATCTAGCTTGAGCGGGCGGGAGATGGGCTTGCCCGCCCGAGCCCGAAAAAATTCGGGCTTCAGGCAGCCCGCCGACCCGAACTTCCAACACTGCTTCAAACTCTAATAAGATAGTGTGATTTTCATATTAAATGACTTAATTATTGTTTTAATCTCATTTATATGTACTGAGAACCTATAATTTCTAACAGGAAACAGACGAAACAATGTCCTTCAACTGAGACAGAACAGGGAGGTTTTGGAAACGGACAAGTCGTACCTTCTTGAAAAGGATTAGTTAGTTGGTTTCTGTTATGGCGGCTTTTTTTTTTTTTTTGAGGTCTTGCTTTTGTGACGTCATCGTAAATTACTTTAACCTTAATCCAAGTTCACGTGGGGTTTTGGTGTTTAGGTCTTCAAACTGGATTTATCTTAACTTGAGAAAAAACAGTTGTCAGACTAAAATCACGAGGAGTTTTGGTGTTCACACGTCTTACAAAGAAACTTCTTCCTATAAATTGCCTAGTAAAGTCTACGGGCCCGTTCGGTTCGTTAATTCGAGTTTTTAATTCGAGTTGAGATATGATGTTGTGTGAGAACTTTTTACTATAGTAAAAAAGTTAGATGTGACTGTTTCTAAGAGCTTTTTACTGTAGTAAAACTCGAATTCTAAACTCGAATCAGTGAAAAAAATAGAACCTATGACATTTACGAATGTTCTTAAAATATATATGAGTAGGACTATGTATAATACACCAAAACGTGAGGATAAAAGGAAGAAATTAATTTCTTAATTATCTTCAAAGTGTACTTAGCCTCACCAATTAAAAAGTAGAAGTCGAGCCGTCTGACTGCCCAAATGGGCCCCGCTCTCTTTCACAAACATGATTGTTGGTTAAGCAAAAGGATAGAGTAGACCAGTCCGACTCAAAAGTTCAGCGGATTGAGGTTGGGCCGGTTGAGTGGGCTTGAAATTTATAAATAGTATTTTAATAAGAAAGTTCTGCTTTATTTATCCCGCAATGATTATAATAAAAATAAATTTAGCATTTAAAATAGTATTATGTATTGCACTATAAATAAAAATAAAATGTCAATATACTTTTTTAATTTTGTTTATATTAAATATATAATTAGTATTAATATTTACCTCGAAGATAGTCTAAGACCTCCTTTAGGAGCGGATTTGAAGCTAAGCCCAAATTCTTGTGCACAAACACCACCAGCCACCCCTTTTCCTCGTATGTAACAGAAAATAGGTGCAAAATAATATAAACCGGTTTTTACTTTTATCACTTTCTAATATGGAATGAGGGATATTTTTTAGTACTCTAGACATATTAGTAGGTCAGATTTTTTTTTTAGATTTGCGTATTTTTTAATTTTTACTTGATTTTATATAAATTCAATGGACAAAAAACTTGGTCTACCGGTATGTTGACGTACCGGAGAAAATCTCATGGAATAAAACTATTAGATTGAAAAAGTACACAAACAAGACAGTTTATAATAAAAATCTGATGGTTAAAAAATAAAAAACTACGGATAATTTTTTTTTCGTCCTATCAGAAAACTCCCTTTAAAGTAAGTATACAAAACAAATACACATTCTATTGTATTTTGAAATTCCTATACTAAAAACCACCTTCATACATCCTTATCTTGTAAGAGAGTTTCAACTTATCATATGCGCTGTAAAGCTTTTGCACCTCATTTGCTAATTAAGAAAAAAAGAAAAATGTTATACATCAAGTTATTTATCACGTCCACTTTTGGACATTTTGTCTCCACAAACATGACAACACATCACCCAGTAATAAAAATTTTTGAATGTAATATTTTTTATAAATAACCGAACGAGAAATTAACTTTTGATTTTTTCTTTTCGTGACACTTACCAGTTCATACGAACTTCATGCGACTAACAAAAAGAGGGAAGAAAAACACTTTAATTTGTTTGCTTGAGGATTATTTGAATTAGAATTTAAATTTTATGAGGAAAAACACTGTGATAAGACAGTTTAAATTTAATTTTTATGTAAAAAAAAAAAAAAAAAAAAACACAGTTTGAAGAAAAATCATGGTGGTCTAAACCCCTCACACTAAACATGCACTTTCGACTTAACACGAGTCTCACTGTCACTCTCCACAAACTTGTTTATATCATAAATGCATTGCAAACGTAGATTTTTCAATATGGAATGAACTTAAGTTGTTGATTTTATTTAGGAATTTATTTATTGACTTTTTTTAGTTTATATTGATTTTATTGACTATTTATTTTTATTGACTATTTGTTTATATGTTTGGATTCCTCTGTGCCTTGGTTTGTTTGTATCACTAGTGCATGTTTGTATCAAATCAAACGAGCACAGAAGACTTGGTCCAAGTCTTCTGTAGGATTACCTTAAATAAATAATTAAAAAAACAAAAAAAAACAAAAACAAAGTTATCCTTTCCAACTCCCCACAACTTAGAAGCCACAATTTTTTATTCAACAACTCCAGCTGAAAGTCGCATTTCTTTTGGAAGTTGAAATATTAAGAAACCAGTTTTCCGGTAGGAACTGTCAGGAAATGTAAATCCATAAACAACAAAATATATACAGCTCTGCATATAAATTCAACTTCAACACTCGACTTAAAACTAAACAAAATTTGAACATTTTACATTAAAAAAATGATATTTAAACTACCAAGTCCCTTGCACAGAGTTTTTGTTTTTTTAATACATAAAGTAAGGGGATTCCCAAATAAACGATCCCATTAATTTGAACAACTAATGGAAGCAGAAGTTATTGTTCTTTTGACTTCCGCTCCATAATAGCAGAAAGAAGAGTGTAATTTGGTATGAGAGTCTTGCTTGGCAAAGGCAAATTTGTCCTGGGCGAAGTGTCATTCACTTCAAGCCATTTATCTATGGCTTTACGATCATAAGTATATCCATCCGCAGCCACACAAGGATCATTCATTACGTCCTAAGCCCAAACAAAAATATAAAAACGATCATGTTTTGTAGAATATAATGCATTGCAAGAACAAGTCGTGTAGGAAATATTGTACAAGTATAGTCATTACCTTAAGAATTGGACAAATGAAGTGGTTAGGTGGTGGTGAAAAATGTAATTTGGAGGCTGAATCTCTGGCCTTATCAGCAACCTCTTTCAATCTCTGCAGTGAAGGAAGCACTTGATCTTGCAAATCAGGCCTATCTCTACGTCGAAGCTCGGCACAGCTTAGTCCCAATTCGGCAAACTCTTTTGTTTCTTCAACGGGCCAATTGCCCGCATTTGGATCCAAAATGTTCATTACATTACCATCAGCAACAGCAGTTTCCACTACATGGGCTAGTGCTATTGCTGGCTTTGCAGTCAGGAGCTGCAAAATCACCATTCCAAGAGCATAGACATCGGATTTTGGAGAGATCAAGCCAGTCCTTTGATACTCAGGATCGATGTAGCAGAGTGTCCCCACAGGCCCCGTGTCCCTATACATGGTTGAGATGGAAGAATTGTCTGACTGAAGCATGGCTGCAAGGCCAACATCACCAATCTTGCTGACTAGATTATGGTCTAGCAAGATATTGGCTGGTTTCACGTCGCGGTGGATGATTGGTGTCGGCTTTGAGTTGTGAAGAAAAGCAAGAGCAGAGGCAACTTCCCAAGCAATTCTATACCTGTCAAACCAAGGGATGGGAGGTGTCCCATTTTTCTGCATCAACCTGTCTTCCAAGCTACCATTTTCCATGTACTCATAAACGAGGCAACTGCGGTCGGGACAGGCACCAATGAGGAGAAGCAAATGGGGGTGATGAATTTTGCTCAAGATCTCAAGCTGCAATACCAATTAAGAAGAGTGAATTAGAATCAAAATGTCCTCAAATAAACAGATAAATAGGGAGAATTCAATGGTAGGGTATGAATAAATACCCTATTTGTAGGAGACAGTTTCAAACCATAAGATCACTTAAGAATCATATCCAATTGAGAAAAGTATGATAATTTAACGGACCTTGATGAAGATTTGACATTTACAAACTGTATCCTACCAGTAGGGTATTTTTTATACTCTACTAAAGAATTTCCCGATAAACTTACCTCACAAATTTTGAATAAGAACTTGAATATATAAGAGCAATTATTTAAGTGGATGACAAATTGTTGTACCTCCTGCTGGAATTGATTAATTTTGTGGCTCTCATTAGAATGAAGAACTTTTACTGCAGCAGTTGTGTGATGAAAATTTCCCTTGTAGATATTTCCATAGCCACCCATTCCAATCTTAAGATCCTCAGAGAAGGATGAAGTGGCTGAGATAATCTCTTCCCATGTAAAGTTCTGGTATTGCTGAACAGGCCCCACAAGAGCACTCTCCAGCTTCTCTTTCTCTTTAGTATCATGCATTGCTTTCGTCTCCGCCTCTCTCTTCAGTGCAGCTTCTCTTTCAGTACATTGTCTCAAACGCTGAGCTTCCATTTCTGCTGCTTCATGCTTCTCTTTCTCTTCTATTGCTAATTCTTTGGCCTTTTCTTCCTCCGCAGTTATTTCTTCGAGCTTCCTTGCTTCATCTAACCGTTGCTTGTTTAGATCTTTTAGCTGATCAAAAGAAATAAGCATGTTACTCTTTCCGAAAAGGCAAAGCAAGATATTAACTTTCTTAGCCTATTCTTGCTAGCAGGTTCGACAAGGACCTGTTTGTGTCACAAAGAAGTAATCCGAATTATAAATCAACACATTAGTAAGATCCTACGAAAATCTAGTGTTCTTGGAGAGATGTTCTGCAATATTTAGCCAGCTGAAATGAGCAAGAAAGGATCATAAATTACTTTTGGATCTCAACAAAAGAATACTACTTACCTTTCGAGAAGCATCATTTGTTTCACTTTGAGCCATTGCATACATTCCTTTGACATGTCTGAGCTCAATTCTTAGCTTTTCTATCTCAAAGTTGAAATTGACCTGTTATATAAATGATGAATGTCAAAATATTTGTGCTATGTCTACAAAACTTCTTATGCATCATCCACCAATTGAGGCGAAAGAAGGCAGATGGCGGTACCTGACTCTCCAATGAAGAACAATCTGTGACAGCATCAGAGGTCGAAGCTTGATCAGAAACCCATGAGTGGTTATCTGTTACCAAGCTCCCACTACTAGACGCCTGACTTTCAGAAATACTGGGACAAGAACCAAATTCATTCTTTCCTTCATTAAGATCCAAAGACTGGAATCTAGAATGATAGCTGTCAACTGAATCTTTTCTTGTCTTGAGAAGGTTCTGATTGATCGTCGCGAGAGCCTGAAATCGCTGCATTGTTAGGGAAGTTGAGCGGAACTTTGAACCCGAACCAACCGAGCCAATGTCTGCGGTTCAATAAAGTAGAAGAGGTATCAACTCTTGCATCTATTTGTGACACGTAATTCAACCGAGTTCATACTTATCCTTGCTTAATATCTAAGTAACATGATGTGCAATACCTGTTTGGGAGCTAGAGGCATTGCTTGCTTCACTAACGACTGAACGTGTGTCACTATTGTCGTCTCTACTGCTTCCGATTGTCTCAGAATCAGATGGTCGTATGGATGACAATTTTCCTTTTGAGACTGCATAGACTGTGCAGAAACTTGGAGCACGCGCCGAGATTTTCAATGACAGACGCTTAAGCTTCCTAACAAGCATGATATAGTTTTAGGGGAGGCAAAACATGCTTCAAAGAACCATCTAAACCAAGGCATGAAAATTTAATAACCAGTCATATTCAAATTGAAAATCTCTAATGGCAGAACTTTGGGGGCTGAAATTAAATACCTTGTAAACATGCCGCGAGAAGGAGCACCAATAACAAGCTTTTTAATCGATAACTTAGCAATCTCCGCTGCTATTGCATTGGCCACATCATCTGATTCAACAATTACAACATCTACTTCCACCTACATTTAAACTTATGTGCATCAGATCAGATAATTGTTTCTTGTAATTACATTAGACCAGACTTCAACAACGAAGAAAATCCTTACCTTTCTCTGAGCACACATTCTCTTGTAGGGAAGAAGAATTGCAGTTGTCTGCCACTCTGTTTCCTTTACATATGCAGCTGCCACATCATCGCGTACTTGTGAAAGAGGAACAAAATTTCCCACTAGAATCACACATGTAGATGGCAAGAAGGAACAAACTGCTCAAGTTTTGATCTCCACTTTACATCATCTACTTGGTTTCAACATTTACATACATAAACAATATTTCCAAAAATGCTTAAAATTGATTCGACCATTAGATGTAAACACTTCATCTTTTATCAAAGATTAAATTTTTACGCTTTAGCTAAGTAGCCTTACATAGAAATGGCATAAGGCAAATTTCTTAGACAGAGAAAGACGAACCAAACACTCTTTCCTAAACTTATACCATAGTTCTTGCACCTTTTTAAACTCTTTAGAGCTCTAAAATATGTGAGAACAGTTTGAGTGCAAAGCATAAGATTTTTCTCTCTCTCTTTTTTTATTTTTATTTTTATTTATGGAGGAATTGAGACTGAAGAAGCATCGCTTACTTGCTGTGGGAACTGCTACAATCCTTGGACGAACATGAATCAACTTGAAAATAACATTTCCCTCTGGAACAAACTTGTCTAGTGCCCACCTTACTATGTCTTTGCTCTTGTTTCTGCCATTGATTGCAATGCCAACATTCACATAACAGGGAGGCGTTGGAAGTGCAAACTTGTCTTCCGATTCCGCAATTTCACTTCCATCCATTATTCCCACACGTTTCTGTTGCATTGAAATCTCTGTACCACAAAGAAGTGAATCACAAGGCCACCAATCAGTCACAAAGCTTAAAAATTTAACATTTCTTATGCATGTACTTTATCCAATCACGCATATGTATATAAGGGATTTTGGCACTCTCAAAATTATAAGTCAACAAGCTGAAGAACGAAATCAGCGTTGTTCTGTTCTTTTCACGACTCAAATTTTATTGCTATAGTATTTTCTCTTAACAAATTCAAACTTTTAACTTTTTTACTGTAGCGTTTTCTCTCACGTAAACAAATCAGGTCCGAAGTGAAAAGAGGCATGGGTTTTTGTTGTGGGAAACTGCAGATGCAGATGATATAAAAGAAAAGAGATAAATCCAACAAAGAAATTTCCTCCATCAGAAATGGAATTGTCTTCAACTTCTAGAAAAAACAGACATGTCCAAAAATAAGAAGCCCAGAAGTGTATTCACACGTGCAGGTCTGGGATTCCTTGAAGTCAACATTAAAAAAGCTTCAAGATTGCTGAAACAAGCAATCAAAAGCTTGAGAAACAACAAAAATTCCGAAACGAAAGAAGAAGAACCAAGAAAACAAACCTCAAAACGAAAATGCTTACAATACCCATCAACAGCCAAGAAGATTCAGAATTGAAACAGCCAAAATCTTCTGTTCAAAAGAAAGCAGAAACCCTTCAAATATCCTTCTCTGCAGAACCATATCAGACATTCAAACTCCAATTTCGGAGTTTTTGATAGTTTAATTAGTTTTCAGCCAGCAAACCCACAATCACAGTTTTTGGAGCTTGTTTTCAGACCAACTTTGCCGTGAATCGATTTGCTATCTCTGAAATTTTACACATATTTTTATATAGCTCCTGTAAAACGATAGAAATGGACAAGTTGTATCTCCATGACAAGGATTAGTTTGTTGCGGTTATGACTTTTCTTGGAGTCTTCCTTTGTGACGTCATCCATTATTTTTAACGTAGTCCATGTTTACCTCTATATAAATCTGTCATGTCTAGTAAATCACTTCCAATAATTTTACATTTTTAAAAACAAAAAATTATTGGAGGTCTAGTTGGCAAATAAAAGATTTTATTTTGTCTCAACAACAAAAAAGAAAAATATAATATCTGGTAGTTATGAAAAAACTCTCAACTGTTTTAGACAATCTTCAAACTGGTTGTTTATTTTAACTTGAGAAAAAACAGTTGAGACTCGGACACTTAAAGAGAAACTTCTTCCTATGAACTGCCTAGTAAAGTCCTACAATATAATCTTAAGAAATGTCTTATTAAATTAAATTTGACCGTGTAAGAGACCAAGGCTTGTTCCATATAATACGACAAAACATGAGGATGAACAGGAAAAAAAATTCAACCTCTTTCACTAAATTAGCATTTTTATGGTCACATTGGTTTTGATATTAAGGTATTCTCTTTTTGTATCTATTCTATCAAGCTTTTGCATCTCGTTAGGTTTAAAAAAAAGAAAAAAAAAACAAAAAAAAAAGGAGACAATTTTCTATATTAGGTTGTAGATCATGTGTATTGTCCACTCTATTATAGACATTATTTACTCCTCAACATCACAAAATACCACCCAAATAATTAATTTTTCGAGTTTTCAGATAATGTGAAAACAATTTACTCGAAAGAGAAACTTCTCTTTTGACTTTATTTTCTTATTTTCTTTTTTGTTTTCGCCGTATCACCATCTCACACGAGCGTCATGTGGCCAAGATAAAGTGTGGAGAAAAATGAACACTTCTACTTCACTATCACTGCCAACCAACGTGTTGTCATGACTCATTTTGTGTCATAAATGCATTTCATACTTGGATTTTTCACGATATGAGACGAACTTTTATTGACTTTTTTAAACTCTCGATTATGAAACGCATTTTTGGATTCCCCCGTACTTAGGAGTTGTTCTTTTAGAGTATACTTGAGTGTAATTTTTGAGTTAAATTTGAGTTATAACTTGAGTTGAAATTAAAACTTGAATAAAGTTGAGTAAAATTGAATAAAGTTAAAATTTAAAAGAACATAAATTTAAATAAAGTTAAAACTTGAGTTGTCTTTTTTTAAATTTTTTTGGACAAAAGAACATGCTTGTTTGTGTATCACTAAAGAGACTTGGGTCTGTCATTATTTGTCTTTTGCATGATTACTTAAAAAAATAAAAAAATAAATAAATAAATAAATAAAGCTTCAAATTTTCTTGACTCCTTCCCAAAGCTGCATCAGCATCACTCATGGTCACTAGCCCACGGTTTTATTTTACAACTCTAGCCAAAAATCTTCTGGGAAAAAAAATTTCTCGCCGAAAATCGCGATTCTAATGACAGTTGAAATATCATAAAACTATTTTTGTATAGTGCATGTTGACATTATTCTAAGCTAAGAGACATTCGTATCATACAAGTCCGAATAAGAAAAATAACAACATACATAACACCGGAAAGTCACCAAAAAAATAAAAAAAAATAAAAAAAACTCATCTCTCGGTCAAAAATCTTTAGATTAGAAAGGCACACAACATGACACCAAGTATGATATAACTATTATAAACAAGGTTTTCCACTTTTCCTTAAAAGAAAAACTCCCATAAAGAAGACGACTAGGTGATGAGGAGTATTTTTTTT